TCCCTGCCAGAGGTTCTGGGCAGCCCGTCTCCCTCTGGGGCTAATACTGGTCATCTTGAAGCTCTTAGGATTGGGCGCAAAGGAGGGAGGGGACACCCCTTGGGGTTCTCCCAAACCACCCCGGGCTGTGGGTCATGCCTCCAGTGGCCTGAGATGCCAACACAAAGGAAAAAAAAAAAGAAAAGAAAAAGAAAGAAAATGACTCCCCACGTCCCCTGGCTCAAACCCAGTACAAAAGTGAGTTATTTACAATGAAGGGGTGGGGAGTGGGGAGGGGGCGCAGAGAGGGGTGGGGCCAGAGTGAGCCCTCCGCTGGGGGGCCACGCCCCTGCCACCGCCCCCGGCCTCGGCAAAGGGACAAAGCCAGGCAGATTGAGGAACGGGTCTCTACCCCCAGCGCGGGGAGGACCCTGGGGGGGGGGGATGGGGGAGGGATGGGGATGGGGTGCGGGTGGGGAGGCATGGGCGGTGGGAGGAGATGGAGGGGAGGTAGCTGCGGTCCCTCGCCTCCCCCCTCCCCCCCGCCGGACACACAGTTTTCCGTGGGATGGACACAGAGAGGGTTAATTAAAAAGTTCGATGAGCGAAGTCTGACTGTCGAGTGGGGCGTGGCTGGAGCAATGAGGCCGCAGGTCCCGGTGGTGGCCGGTGGTGATGGAGTCACTTAGGAAATGAGAGGTTGGTGGTTTTGGGAGGGGGGTGGAGGGGGAGACAGAGAGGGGAGGGGAGGGGGATTAGGCGGTCCCCCTAATGATCTCTGGGAGACAGGAGTATCCTGGACTGGCTCAGAAGGGGTTAAACACCAGCAGCCGCCCCCCCCCCCCCCTACAGACGTCCCCATTTGCCTCCCCGCACCCAGCGCAGAGACCAGAGACCGGCCTTACGCGCACCTGGCCAGGCGCCACGGGGGCGGGGGGGGGGGGGGAGGATGTCCCCCCAGTGGCGTCCGGAGGCCGAGAGGGATCGCGATAGCAAGGCGACTTGGGCATCGCGATCCGGGTCTCCCCTCCGTGACATCCAGCTCAGGCTGGATGGAGGGGGTGCCAGGCCGCTGGGCACCCCGCGGGGCGGTGGCCAGCCTCCCCGCGGCTCCTGGATAACTAACTAACCTTTTTCCCAGCGCGCGCACTCTCCCTCTTCGCTCATCCTGGTCTCGAAAGAGCAATAAATACATCCATGCAGGGGGATCCTCTCACTTTCCAAACAGCAGGCTGCCAGCTCAGAGATGCAGTGAGGGGGGGTGAGGGATGCAGGGCCAGGGAGGAGAAACAGATCAAGGGGTGGGGTACTGAGGGGCTTGGGGGTTACGCAGGGGAGAAAAACCACCACCGGGATAAAAGTGGTTCCCTGGGTGTCCCAAGCAGAGGTCCTCCACCGTCCAGAAATGGACACTCAGATTCCAACTGCGATGCATGTCCTCACCTACAAGGAAGTCCAGGCCGGTGTCCAGGCAGACAGAGACGGCAGGACCGCCGCCTTCTCGTCCCTAAGGATTATTGCAGCGGAGCCCTGTGCCCACGGAGAGCTGGCCAGGGGCTGGGGCGGGGCAGGTGGCCGGGGCAGGCTGGCTCAGAGGCGAATTTGGCACATGGAACCCCTTCTCCTAAGTGCTTGAGGTCCTTCTCTGGCATCCAGTTGGCACCATCCGCGGGGCCGGCGGAGGAGGGGCCGAGTTTGTCTCCTCTCTCCCCCAAATTTCTACAGCTTAGCCCCAAGGAGGCAAGTGGGGTTCTCCCTGGCTGGTGGAATTTGGGGGAATCCAAAGGTTAGGGATTATTCGCGGAAGGGAGATTTTTTTTCCTTTTTTTTTCTTTTCTTACAAAGATTCTAAGAAAAACTCAGGGTGGGAGGGGCGAGGAAGGGGGACCCAATTGAGCAAAGTGTCCGTGGACTTTTTCAATGCCTCTTAGGGGCCTCCTCGGGGATACAGGGTCCCGCGTCCTGCCCCCTGTCTGAGGTTCCCTCCCCCCAGAGCGGCTCAGTTCCTAGGTTTGGCACTTTTTTTCTTTTTTTTTTTAAATCAGTGGGGAAACTGGGGGTGGGGTGTGGGGTGGGGTTGGCGGGGTGTTTGAGAGAGTGGAGTGGAGAAGGGGCACAGACACGGACAAAAGATAGAGACCAGACAGATGACACTGGGAACCACAGGGAGAGGAAGTGGAAAGCCACAGGGAGTCAGAGAGCGAGCGAGAGAGGGAAACGCTGGGGGAGGGGGTGTGCGCTGGGAGTTGGGGGGCACATGGGAAGGAGGAGGGAGACAATTCAATGCAGCAGACATGTAGTAAGCACCAGATGGGTGCTGAGGAGCGGGGTGCAGGAAAGCCACTCGGCGTCTCTGAGAGCGGACTGGCCGACAGGCAGAGAGGGAAGGAAAGAGGCGATGGGTTGGTCAATGATTCTCGTTCCTGACTCCACGTCTGCGTCCCCTCTGAACAAACCGCGGCACAACAGAGCGAGGCCAGCTTGCAGAAGGGGCCTTCAGGAGATGCGGACAGGACGGGGGTCGGGGGGATGTCCCAGGGCGGCATGGAGGAAGGCGGGCGGCTCTCCGCGCTCCAGCAAGGCGAGTCAGCTAGCTCACTGAGCTAGTAAGCTACCTTCCAGATAACCCTGGGACTCGGGAGGGGGATTGTCACACAGATATCCCAAAGGACACACTTGCCAGGAGGCCCAGCCTCCAGAGACGTGACTGTGTGAAAGGATACTGGACCCCCAGAAACGGGCACAGAAAACAACGTCCGACAAGCAGAGGGCGGGCGGCTGAGGATGCAAACGATATGCAAATGAGCAACTTTCAAACCCCACCTCCCCGCGCCCAGACCTTACTTGACCTCTCCCTGGCTCCTCCCTCCTCCTGGGGGCCTGGGGACGGGAATTGTAGGAGCGGGGAGGGGGGAATATTCCAGTTAGATACTGCAATACCCACACGTGGGTGGATTACTGTGAAATACTGTAAGGTCTTTCTGACAGGAGGCGGGGAGCCATGGCCCCCGGGGCCAGCCCCACCTCCAATCTCAGGAGCACCCCCCTCCCCCCAATTGCAGAAGATATGTACAAAGTGACATCAAGGATTGTTTTGGCACTCAGATCTCCATCTGGCTTCAGTCTGGAGATTAGGGGTGGGCGGGGGCAGCAGCGACAGGAGGTAGGGGGTGGGGAGATGGGGGCCTGCCCTCCCTCCACCCTGGAGATGGAGAGGGCATAGTAACCCCAGTGCCCACGCTACAGCCTCCCCTCAGGGTGGGAAATTCAGTGCAAGGTACCTTGAAGGCTATTGCTTTCTAGGGGTTTTTCACATTTTGATTTGGGGGTGGCTCTCTAGCGAGGGGCAGCAATCACCCCGGCTTTAGGCTTTAGGGGGGGTGGGGAATTGTCTCTGGCTTTTCTTCCCTCCTTTTTTTTTTTTTTTTTGGCAGGAGGAGAGAGACGAGGAGGCCGGATTCCCCCAAAGCCGAGGAGAAGCGGAGGGTCTGGAAGACCTAGGAGGGGCAAATGGGGGAGAGGGTGGGCATGGGGCGCCCCTCCCCCAGAGATGCTGATGATGGCACCAGGGCCCTGGGGGCCCTGCTTTGGGTTGGAGGAAGCGGAGGTGGCCTCCGAGGGCATGGGGGGAGGCGGAGGGGGGTAGAAGTGGGTCTCAGCTATCCTAAGTCTACAGGGTTGTCAGGCCCTGAAACCTCAGCCTGCCAACAAGGCCTTCCGTCTGACCACAGCCGCCGAGCCCAGGGGGCCGCTCCCAAACCAACGCTCAGGGCCGCCTGGCTTGGCAGACGCCATCAGAACATTCTAGCTCCTCAGAGCCCGCAGCGAGAGCACCAAAACATTCTGACTCATCAGATACCACCGGAGTGCTCCCGCTCGCCGGAGACCACAAGCCAACCTAATCCATTAGGCCGCACGGAGCATTCTGGCCCAGGGCCCCAGCCACGGCTCACTGACCTTCACAGCGGGCCACGCCGGCCTGACCGAACCCCCGCACACTGGGCTCACCAGACTCCATGAGACAAAGCCACGCAGACACAGGCATGCACACACAAGGTGGGGGGTAGGGATGGGGGTCTCTGACAGTGGCTTTCACTAGCTCCCTGCCAGGTGAGTTCACAAACGGGGGTGTTTGCACGGAGGTGACCCCGACAGGGCTGGGTCTTTTCCCTTGGAGTCCGTCCGATCAGATCCAAGTCCCACCCCATTATTCTCCTCCCAGGAAGACCCCCAGGCCAAGACCCACCAACGAGGAGCAAGGGTGGGGAGAAGGAGGGTCCGTAACTAACTGGCCATGGCCCACTACAGGAAGTGCATGCTTCGTCCCAATGACATCACAGGAAGTGCCGTGGAAACACCACAGGAAATACATGCCCCCCCCGTGATGTCATTAAAGCAACCTTCAAGAGATGCCGTAGGAAGTACCTATCTTTCCTATCATCACAGGAAGTGACCTTTGGGGAACTACTTCCTATGACATCACAAAAAATTCCAGAAGTGCCCCCGAAAGTATTTGACTCAGTGGCGTCACCACGGGTTCCTATTACTTTAGGAAAAGCCACAGGAGATGCCACAGGCAGTTGCTCCAGCCTTTCACAGGGGTCTTGCCGAGAGCCGGCCTCATTCCCAGCAGCACAGCCCCCTGCCCGCCCCCCCAATACCATCTGACAACAAAGAGTTAAAAGCCCCGCCGAGGAGGGGTGACTGCAGAGGGGGGAGAGTAGCTGAGAACTTGGGGGGTTCCCGCTGCAAATGCCCCATTTCAGCTACCTCTCCTCCCACGACGGAGGTGGCTGATGTTTTGGGGGAGGCCCTTCTTGCTGGGTCACCCAGAGGCTCGCCCCCCCACCCCCCGCCCGTAGGGAAACAAAAACAGATAAAAGGGGAGAGAAAGAAAATCCTTAACCAGGGGGGGAAAAAAAAAAAAGGAGGGAAAGAAAGAGAAAATAACGCTTTGTTTTCTATTAAAATCAACAAAATGCAATATATACAGATATCACACAGACCTGGGCCCTGGGGGAGGAGAGTCAGGCCCAGCCAAGCGTAGGAAGGAAGGAAGGAAGGAAGGAAGGAAGGAAGGAAGGAAGGAAGGAAGGAAGGAAGGAAGGAAGGAAGGAAGGAAGGGGTCCGTTCAGGGCCAGGGAAGGAGCTTTGGGCTCCATCCCCAGCCATCTCTCAATCCTGCCTACGAACTACCAGAAGGAAGGGGGGTGCCGTCAGACCAACCCCAACCCCAGCCCCAATCCCAGGAGGAGCGGGACCACCCGGAGCTGAGGCCAAGAGTTGGGGAGGAGGAGGAGGAGGAGGAGGAGGAGGAGGAGGAGGAGGAGGAGGCGGCATCGGGAGGAGGGTGGGAGCACACACCACAGGCCTCATCCCACCTTCTGGGGGTTTGAGGCCCTCACTCCCTGCTCGTAGGTGACCCGCTGGCTGATGAGGTATTGAGCGGCTTGCGTGGCCGCGGGGCTGCCCGTGATGGTGACCCGCCGGTTCCGTGTGCCGGGCAGGAACTCGCCCTTCTTAGAGATCTGGATGCGGGCACCTGTCAGCTCCTGGTACTCCACCAACGTCTTGCCCCCCTTGCCCAGGATGGCTCCCACCAGGTTCTCAGGCACCGCGATCTCCACCAGCTCCTTGGCGCTCTCGGCCGCCAGCTTCTCTGCCGTCAGGAAGCCCCCGGCCGCCCCTGCGGCCGCGGCGGCGGCCACCAGGGGGCCACCCGCGGCGCCCGCCCCACCGCCCGCCCCGGCCCCAAGGTAGCCGTTGGCGGCCGCGGCCAACGCGAAGGACCCCAAGGCTCCGGGCGGCGGGGGCGGCGGCGGGGCGGCCCCTCCGGCCGGCCCGGCCCCGGCCTCCCCCGCGTAGGAGGCCAGGAGGTTGGCAGCGGCGGCCGCGGCGGGGTTGGCACCGGCGGCCACTGCGGCCAGGACCCCGGAGGCGGCGGCCGAGTTGAGGCCCAGGCCGAGGGAGTTGGTGTTGTAGCCGTAGCTGGCCAGCGTGTTAAGGGCGGTGCTGATGGCCAGCAGGTCCGTGCCCGAGAAGGCGGGCAGGGCGGCGGGGAAGGCGCCCACGCTGGCCAGCCCCGCGGGGCCCAGCAGGCCGGAGGCGGCGGCCGCGGCGGAGGCAGCGGCCGCGGCTGGCAGCACGTCGGCGGGGCTGGCGTACGGCGAGCCGGTGGGGTTGGAGTTGGCCACGGGGCCGGCCACGTTGGCGTAGCTGATGTTGAGGCAGCTGCTGCTCTGGGGGTCCTCCTGTACCTTCTGCACGATGGCGCTCACCGCCTTGTGCACCTGCTCGGGCTCGCCGCTGACCGTCACCACGCGCTCCTGCAGGTTGATGCCCTCCGGCTTCTGGGACAGCTGCACCCAGGCCCCCGACTGTTCCATCACGGCTTTCACGGTGGCGCCGCCCTTGCCGATGATCAGGCCCGCCGTGCTGTTGGGGACGATCAGCTTGGCCTGCGTGGGGCGAGCGGGAGGAGCGTTAGGGTGGTCACGGGAGCCGGAACGGGGAACAGGGATGTCATTCCCATCTCCGCGCTCAAGGTCCCGGATCAGGCCCCCTTGATAGGCACCGGTAGGTCCTACTGGTTGTTAAAAAAAAAAAAAAAAAAAAAGTCGGGACCGGTTTGGCTTAGTGGATAGAGCATCGGCCTGCGGACTGAAAGGTCCCGGGTGTGATTCCGGTCAAGGGCATGTACCTTGGTTGCGGGCACATCCCCAGTAGGGGGTATGCAGGAGGCAGCTGATCGATGATTCTCTCTCATTGATGTTTCTAGCTCTCTATTCCTCTCTCTTCCTCTCTGTAAAAAATCAATAAAATATATTAAAAAAAAATACTGGGCCTTGGCCAGTGTGGCTCAGTGGATAGAGCGCCGGCCTGTGGACCGCAGGGTGGAGGGTTTGATTGTTGGTCAGGGGCTTGTACTGGGTTGCAGGTTCCATCCCAGTTCCGGTAAGGGTGCGTGTGGGAGGCAACTAATCCATGTGCTCCTTCTCTCTTTCTCCTTCTCCTCCCTTCCACTCTCTCTGGAAGTCAGAGGAAATATGTCGGAATGTGTCCCTGTTAGTCAGTTAAAAAAAAGAGCTGGTGACCCAAGTCCCCTCGGCAGCCTCTCGGCCAGCCTGTCCCAGGCCCTAGGTCCGCTGGGCCCTCCTTCCCATCCAGCACCTGGAAAGGCTTCGTGGCTGACCCCGTGGGGGCCCCCAGGACTCCGCTCCAAGCCTGCCACGGTGCCCACGCCCTTCTCCATCACTCAGAGTCTCCTGAGCCCCAGCCGGTGTGGCTCAGTGGTTAGAGCGTCGGCCTGCGGACTGAAGAAGGGTCTCGGGTTTGATTCTGGTCAGGGCACATGTCCGGGTGTGGGCTTGATCCCCAGTAGGGGACGTGCAAGAGGCAGCCGATCCATGATTCTCTCTCATCACTGAGGTTTCAATCTCTCTCCCCTTCCCCCTTCCTCTCTGACATCAATAATAATAATAATAAAAAGTCTCCTGAGCCCCAGAAAAGGCATCATCAGTCTCACTTTACAGAGGGGCCACTTGAGGCCTAAGAGGGGAAGGGCCTGGTCCCAGGTCACCCAGATAGTGAAGGAGTGCACTGTGCCTCCCAGCCTAAGACATGGTCACCTGCTTAACCTCTTTGCTGTTGTTATGGGTCTCATGGTCCTTCCCTCCCCCCAATTCATATGTGCCAGTTCTCACCCTCACTACCTCAAGTGTATTTGGAGATAGGGCTTTAAAAAGGGGATTCACGCCAAAACCGGTTTGGCTCAGTGGATAGAGCGTCGGCCTGCAGACTGAAAGGTCCCGGGTTCGATTCTGGTCAAGGGCATGTATCTTGGTTGAGGGCACATCCCCAGTAGGGGGTGTGCAAGAGGCAGCTGATCAATGATTCTCTCTCATCGATGTTTCTAACTCTCTATCCCTCTCTCTTCCTCTCTGTAAAAGAATCAATTATATATATTAAAAAATAAAATATTTTAAAAAATAGATAAATAAAAAATAAAAATAAAAAGGGGATTCAGGCTAAGCAGGGTCCTGGGGGTACTGATCCAATATGACAGGCGTCCTGATAAGAGGAGGAGGTTAGGACACACACACACACAGAGGAAAGACCGTGCGAAGACCACGGAAAGAAGACAGCCAGCCACAGGCAGAGGAGAGAGGCCTCAACGGAAACCAGACACGCGGACACCTTGGACTTGGGCTCCTGGCCTCTGGGACTGGAAGAAAATGAATTTCTGTTGTTTAAGCCATGGGGTCTGTGGTGCTTTGCGACGGCAGCCCTAGCAATCTAACACAGGTGTCTTATCAGTAACATGAAGATGGCAGAACCGCACGCCTGAGGAGGCAGGGAGAGAACAGGCCACTTGGACATGGCGGTCTCTTCCCTCGGTGGCTAAGCAGCCCATCCATCCAATGGACCAATCTGAATGCCAGTGGGGCTATTTCACAACTCATGTCTCCTTTCCAACCCTTCCCACGCCCCCTCAGAACTCGCCCTTCTTAGGGGTGCCCCCTAACTGCATGCTTATCATGCTAGCACCCCCTAAGTGCATGCTAGCCCCTGAAGCTCTCTCTCACCTCTACCTCTCCTCTCTCTACCCCCAAGCCAGACCCTGGGGGTATTTGCGGGAGCAGTTTTAAAAAATATATATTTCTTTTCTTTTCTTTTCTTTTTAATTTTAAAAGATTTCAAGTCAGAAGGAGAACCCAGGTCTCCTCATCTTAAGTTCAGGTTTTTTTTAATATAATTAATTTATTTACTTTATTGATTATGGTCAAAAATATATTTCTTTATTGATTTCAGAGAGGAAGGAAAAAAGGGAAAGAGAGAGAACCATCAATGATGAGAGAGAATCATTGATCGTCTGCCTTCTGCACATCCACTACTGGGGATTGCACCCGCAACCCAGGTATGTGCCCTTGGCCGGAATCAAACCTGGGACCCTTCAGTCTGCAGGCTGACGCTCTATCCACTGAGCCAAGCCGCCAGGGCTGTGGGAGCAGTTTTGCTTGTTGCAATGACGAGGGGCAGATATGGGCACTCAGTGGGCAAGGCCATGGGTGTTTGTACCCACAACCTACGAGGCAGCTCCTCAAAAGGAATAGTCATCCCAGATCCTCGGTGACCTTTGAATCTCCCCCAGACAGTAATGCTGTGAAAAGTCTGTTTAGAATCTCTGAACAACACAATAGATACATGTAAAGGGCCAAGTATTGATTTATTTGTTGTTTTTTGCATGGTTTTAAGGTCTACTGAAATGTCCAGGAATGCAACGCTTCGTAAACGAAAAGAAGATTGTACTTTGTTTGGTTCTGAACGAGACCAAGCGTCTTTGATCCGTTTAGGAAACTGTGACATCAGCGGTAATGACACTTGTGTCATTTATGTTTCCAAAGCCACCCTCTGGGTCACTGCGTTGGTTGCTGTCTCACTCAGGTGGTGTTAGGTGTGAGCAGCTTCCTTTCATCATCTTCTCTGCTGTGGTCCTGGCTGAGCATCTACAGATTAAAATTAATCCGATTTTATGACAAATCACCTTACTTTCATTCTTTTTTAAAAAAGTTTTTTAAAAATTGATTTCAGAGAGGAAGGGAGAGGGAGAGAGAGAGAGAGAGAGATGGAAACATCAATGATGAGAATCATTCATTGGCTGCCTCCTGCATGCCCCCTACTGGGGATGGAGCCCACAACCTGGGCATGTGCCCTTGACTGGAATCGAACCCCAGACCCATTTGTCCGCAGGCAGACACTCTATCCACTGAGCCAAGCCGGCTTAGGGTTTTCATTTCTTCTTTAGTTAGAAAGTCTAATGGGAAAAGAAAACGTTCACCCGTACAACAGACTATTACTTGACAATCAATTTCAAGGAACAAAGTACTGATATATGCCACAACCTGGATGAAACCAGAACACATGCTACGTGAACGAAGCCAGGCACAAAAGACCATATAGTGTATGATTCTATTTATGTGAATGTTCAGAAAAGGCAAATCTATAGGAAAGAAAGTAGATTAGTGGTGGCTTAGAGCTGGTGGGCGGGGTGTGAGCTGCAGATTAAGGGGTGACAGCTAAGGGGATCAAGATTTCTTTTTGAGGAAATGAAATGTTCTCAAATCGGTCATGGTGATGGATGCACAACTCCATATCATAAAACCACTGAACTGTGCTTTACTGTAAAAACCTTACAGCCCGACCAGTGTGATTCAGTGGTTGAGATCACAGTTCAATTACCCGGGTTGTGGGCTCTATCCCCCGTTGGGGGCGCACAGGAGGTGGCCATCAGTGATTCTCTCTCATTATTGTTTCTATCCCTCTCTCTCCCTTTCTCTCTGGAATCAATAAAAATATATTTTTAAAAATCTTATAGATCTAGCCATGGCCTGGTAGTTCAGTTGGTTGGAGTGTCGTCCGGATACATCAAGGTTACCCACATACAAGAACCAATCAACAAACGCATAAATAAGTGGAACAACAAATCGATGTTTCTCTCTCTTTCCCTTCCTGTCTAAAAAAGTCAATAAAAATACTAAAAAATTTACATATCTAGTTATGTTTCACATACGCATTTTCTACATAATTTCAGAGAGTAAGTGGGCATAGGAAGTATTTGTAGGAGAAAGAGGTTATTGGGTCTGACAAAGCTGAGAACTGCTCACTACTCCACTGGCTCTATTCCCTGTTGATCTATCTCTCTGACTTCACCTCTTCCTTCCCTCCCCCTTGCTGACTCCACCGCAGACACATCAGACTTCCTGCTGTTCCTCTAACTTGCCAAGCTCAGTCCAGACTCAGGGCCTCTGCACCTGCTGTTCCCTCATCTGGAGCTCTTTCCCTGGGTTGTGGGAAAAGAGGCTCACCTCTCTCCTCATTCAGGTCTTTGCACAAATGCACCTCCTCAGAGAGGCCTTCCCTGACCAACCAATTATCAAAACCGGTTTATTCGCCTATTTTATGCCCCAGCATGGACATGTCAGGACACAGATTCAGCTGTTAACCTCACAGCTTCAGTATGACGTAGAATGGACACCCCAAACTTCAAGTCCAAATTGGAACTTCTCATCTTTCTCCTCAAATGTGTTTCTGCCATCATGTTCCTCATTCCTGTTCATGGAGAATGCATCCTTCCATTACTCAGACCCAAGACTAGGTGCCCTCTATTTCCCTCATACTCAACATCCAATCAGCAATGCCGCTAGTTCTACCTTCAAAACTACCTTAGGATTCCAGATCAAAAGGGACTAATCAGGCCCATCTAAGTTTTCTAAGATTAACTTGACATTCTGATTTATCATCTGTGGAGCATCCAAGTTTTTAAAGGTTGGCAACCTTTTGAAAATGTCTAAGGATCACTGTGTAGTAGCCAGGCCACCAGTTTGTAGTCTGTGTACACACATCACTGAAAAGCTGCCTTAGACTCTGGAGACACCTACTCAGGTTCAAATCTTGGTTC